GCCCCAGGTTCACCCAAACACATTGCCCGCTACACGCGTAAACAGGGATAAGGCATTCTTATTAAAAGAGCATGTAAAAGTGTATGGTGGCTTTGCCGGAACGGAGACTACCCTGGCACAAAGAAACCTGTCGCTTACGACCAATAAGAGTGTGCTGAGTGGCGATTTTAATGGCGATGATACGGTGGCTGGCTCAGGTGCTACTTTAACAATGACCAATTACAGTGAAAATGCATTTCACATAGTGATATGTGCCGGTGAAATGGGAACAGCTGTTTTAGATGGTTTTACGATCACCGGCGGCGCTGCAGACACAACTGCCAATCGGAATGTGGCAGTGAATGGCAAGCAGATCTCTTCTCAAAGAGGCGGAGGTATCTATCTGATTGATGCATCACCCAGGCTCAGCAATCTTATTATAGAGCATAACATTGCAGGTGCCGAAGGGGGAGGGATCAATGTTGCCAGTTCAAGCGCCGTACTTCAAAATGTATCGGTTAATACAAACCGGGGCGGGGCGATCATGATACGTAATGGAGCTAACACCCATCATATGAGGGCCGACAGGTTAACGGTACGTGGTAACTATGGCGGAATAGGTGGTATAGGACTTATCGTCGGCACCGTTACATTGGCTAATTCGCTGATTGTAAAAAATGCTGCGCCTACCAACAGTGGTGCCCTGAGTGTCAGTGTGGGCGCCTATGTACTTATGAACACCACCATCTCAGACAACCGCAGTGGTACTGGCAATGTCAATGTTGTCTATGCTATATCCAACAGTAGTTTAACTATTATTAACTCAATAATCAATAACTCTGTTACATTGCAAAGCGGCAGTACCGCTCAAAGACACAATAGCTTAGTCCAAAGCTTTACGGGGGTCAACACGAACAATGGTACTAATACCAATAATATTCCGGGCAACACAAATCCTTTATTTGTAGATTCAGCAGCCAATAACTACCGCCTGCAGGACTGCAGCCCGCTCATCAATGCCGGTGATAATAGTCTGGTGCCGGATAGTTTACAATATGATCATGCGGGCAATAACAGATGGTACCGGAATGGCCGGGTGGATATCGGCGCTTTCGAAAAATCAACCCATATTTTACCGGATGCAATACTCAACGACAGTACCAGCAATACACAGGTACAATCGTCGAATGGTACCCAGGAATACTTTGGTAGCTGTAACCAAATACTGGCAAGCGTAACGGGCGATGGTAGTAGCAGTGCCGTTAGTGGAAACGTAAAGGTAACTGTCTGGCTGTCCAATCGTCAACTGGTGGATCATGTCAGGAGATATTACCAGATCATGCCCGCCGTTAATGCAGGGGCAGCAACGGGAAGGGTAACGCTTTACTATACCCAGGCCGATTTTGATGCGTTTAATAATGTCAATTCACGCAAGCTGCCACAACATCCTTCGGATAATGCAGGGAAGGCAAACTTAATTGTGGAGAAGATCAGCGGCACCAGTGATGATAATTCCGGCAAACCGGGCAGCTATCACGGTGTCTCCTCTAACATACATCCTGCCAGCAACGACATTGTATGGAATGCACAGGAAAACTATT